GCTCTTTTTGCTAGCAAACCATTCCTACCAGTTCTGCTTTCGTTGCCGCAGCTCTCGTCCATGTTTTTATTGTAATTTTCTTGCAGAGTATAGAAAGACGAAATTCAAATGTAATGAAAAACATGCGCTTTGCCGCGACAACCTCACATGTGCAATCATAGAAATTGGCCGACAGCCACCGCCAGCAGATCTTCCCCAGATCTCTGTACCTGGACACTTGTGGCGATCCGTATGTGGTAAAGGTGTAAGGATTAAGCACTTTACGAATTACTCTTGGATCGGAGGCTGGGATGCCATTACTCAGTCATGCTTTTGCGTATGGGGCCTGCTCACCGCGATTTTGACTCTGTGGCTGGTGATGCTTTTCGCGACGTGCAATTTTGGCTTTGGCTTCGTCTTGTCTTTTGGTCCACGAGAATATCCTTCTCCTTTGAGACGGCAAAATCTCATTTAGTCACCGTTTTTGTTGTTGCCTCTCGTTCTCATGTCGTAAGTTTCCACCTCTCGGTCGCGTGCTCCACTGGCAACTGTCTAATAGAAAGTCACAACCCCGGGGATCTTTTGGCGTCTTTTTCGGCGTCTCACCGCTTCTCCTCGGTCAGGATGCATTTACTCTGAATGTGTTTCTGTTCAAACATGTTGTGAATTTGATTTACTTTAATCATGCATGGTTTCATACGTATACGCAGTACGAGCACGGAGTATTTGTATCTCGTACTCTCATTCTCTCCCATCTCATGTAGATGACTAGGGTGATTGTGAAGTGCTGGCCTCAAGACTGCACGGACTCTCATCCCAACAAAAAGTATGTGGATGGTTCCTTTCCCTCTCCAAACATCCCCAGAAAGGCAATATGACTTTTCCGCCAATGGCGCCAAGACCAAGGCCCCAGAATGCGAGTGGATGGTCTCATCTGCGAGCTTCTCTTTTTGGTGTGTTTACCTCCCTTTTGGGCATTGGAATGGCTGGTCTGTCTCCATTGGGCTGGCGACAAAATGTAACTGACAAGAAAGTAAGAGTGAGCGGCGACAAAGACATGCTCTCTTTCGTCGACACAGTCGGCAATTCATCGAAGGCGTTCCGTCTCTGGCTGTGGCTGCAAGCTCAATTCTCATGACCTTGCACTTCGTTCCGATCGGCAAGATGACTTTGTAAGTTTCCGGCTTTCTCTCTGCATCCATGCATTCTCTTCTCGTCCGGTACCGCTGTGGGCCTGCAGTGTGACGATGTAAGGCCGCTTTCAGGCCCACCCAATATTGTCCCTACTGTCGCCCGTCTACTGAGCAAGCAAGCTTCCAGGGCCGATAGTCCGTTGTCTCATTTTTTTTTTCTCTTCTCTGCTCCTTTTTGTCCTCCTCGTCATGCGTTGTTTTCGCAACTCTCCCATCTGTCGTAGCCATTACCATTGTTCCGTGTAGCTGCCGTGGGCCGACATGCGCATCTGCTTCGACGCTTGGTATCGCACATCCCGCGCTTGTAGCACTTCGTGCTATGCGTGTGCTGTCCAGGTATGTCGTAGGCGCCCGTTGGGCTGCATTTTTTAAATCATGGACAGTGCCGTGGCTCCATTTGGGGATCATTTACTCTGTCGGCTTTTTCCTTCTCAATATTCGAGGCGGGCCGCGGACAGGCCAGAAACGACGCCACGTAGCACAGCACCACGCAATGTGATTCCACGCATTTTTTTGCTGCATGCTGCACACTGCACACTCCACGCAAGCAAAAGAGCATCCCGCTTGCACTCCATCCACACTCCCCGGCTCGGCAAGCGTGGGATAGTCGCTCGTTTTCGTTTGCTCCAAATCGGTAGCTGCATCCGAACGGCCACTCCTGTCTGCTGTCTTTTCCCTTGAGGTCGAGATGGCTGAATGTCTCCATCTTCTTGTTTCTCATCTTTGCCACGCCACGTCCCATTTTCTTTTGTCTCTTCGCCTCGTTTCTTTTCCCACAACCTCGACAACCTCGCAGCAAGATCCCCACTCGTCTTCCCGCCTTTCGTCCCACCCCAACCGCCACATCAATGCCAGCGAACCCAGTCGCCTGTCACCGTTTTTTTGTCTGTCCAACCACGTACTGTTCGTGGCTGTTGTCCCGCCTCATTTTTTCGGTTTATTGGGTACGGCTGTTGACGAGTGAAATAGCATTGGGGATATTGTCTAGGATACCGCAATGCTTAAACCAATGACTGGTAAGAAGTAGGTTGTTGCTGGCTGTTGTTGGACGGAGCTTATGAGAGTGATGAGTGAGGAAGGAACACCCTGCTACGGGCAAGTTACGTCGTACAGCCGTGTGTGCCTCCTTCCGTTTTTACGCAGTACATTTGGGAAGTTACCTAGTTTCCTTAGGCTCAATTCTGCTCGCTGATACTGTATGCTGTGCAAGGCTGCTCTTGCCTTAAGAAAACTACTGTTTATGTAAACAAACAGAGCGTCATGTCGCACGTTTTCCCACCGTCACCCCCCTTGCGCTCCTTGTCAATATCGTTCGTCCCGCCTCGTCAAACCAACTCGACACGACACGTAGACACGGCAAACTCGTCAAACTAGGACCTGGCCACACCTCTTCAAGGCTCCTTGCAAGATACACCTCGCGTTTCCCAATTGCCTGACGACAATGGTTTCGTTCCTTTTGCTTGTTCGGCTCCGGAATTACTGACATACTGCCAACCGGCAAATTCTTCAAGTCAAGCGCAGGCCCGACGGACTAGGATCAAGGTGAGTCGTTCCCGACCCTGGACTCTTCCGGTTCATGGTTCTAGGATGGATGTGGTCCTCCGATGACAGGTTTCCCTACGGTCCCAGAATCGCAGTTCATGGTGAACACCAAGAAAAAGTAGAAAACAAGCATGTGTACCGTACCATCGGCAACGGCAACGGCGACATATAGCCAAGGATGTCTGGTGGTCGACTCCCAAAGATCTGCTGTACGTTGAGATGCCCGAAAGTCGGAAGGGCGGTAGGCCTGAAGGTCCTTGAAATCCACGACAAACATATTCCCACAAGACTTGGGCACCAGCCCCCTGATCACTAAATGACTTCGGCCCATTCGCCCCCACATATGCATTTTGGGTTTCGTTGGCTTGTTTGGGCAATCCCCACACTTTTTCACTTTACCAACACCTGTTCCACTTACACAAGACGGTGGGTGGCCGATTGGTCTTGCTCAACCTCCCAAGGCTTTACGGAGCACGAAACAGAACACACAAGCATGAGCACCGTGGACAAGAACATCTCACGGAGAGGTCACCCCGTTTTGAGTCATCTGCATTGCATTGGGCAGCCATTCTCTCCCATTCTTCGTTCCGTATGCTGGCCACTTACCGCGAACAGCCATGCACTTGTTACTCATTTACTTTTATGCTGGTCGTTACTGGCCATTCTCGCCTCTTCGTGTCCTCTCCGCTAGATGCCAACTTAGTCGTGCAATTTTGGCTGGCCTCACTTGGGCCTTCATGTCGCCGTTGGACCACATCCTTTGTTTGTAGTTTTCTTTTATGCCTTTTATTGGATTTTTCATACTGTTTATTGTCGATGCAGCCCTGCAATTGTGTTTCTCGCTGTTTTTCGTACCCAATTTTGTTCAGTCTGTTGCGACCCGCCAACGAAGCAATTTCGAAAGCCGGACGTGGACACGAGCCAATCGACAGTGTGCACGATGTGCTGTCCGCATATCCACCCCCATCCCGAGATCACAAGAGCTTGTAGCTTTTTGCTTTTTACCTCATGTTTTTTTTCTCCGCTCGGTGCCTGATTGGAACACCAACTTCTTATGACAACACCCCGTCTAAGTGCGGAGCCAAATCAACCTGCATGCAAGGACCCGCCCAGGCGACTGCCACAACAGACATTCGTCTTACACACCCTTTTCTTCCAGCAGAGGAATGAAACGCATTTGCTGTTAGACGTCGACTGAACGGAGTAGTGTACGAGCACCAGCACGAAACTGACACGGATCTACGCAGTTGACGAGGCTAGAATGGTCACAAAACATGAAAAAAAAATGAAGTAGCAGAGAAAAAAAATCCAAAGACGGTGCCTTGTTGACAGGGGAGGCCCGAGAGCTCCAACGACGTTGGGTCTCTATTGGGACTCCAGCAACCCAGCATGTCCCCATTTTTACTCTGCATGTTTGTCTTTGTTTCCTTTCGTCTGGTTCCTCATTGTTGACGACCTTTCTCTGGAGTGTTTTCTCTTTCCTTCTTTTCAATTTCTTCCCTCTCTAACATCAACAGTTTTACGAAATCTTCATTGTTTGTTTTGTTATCCAGTTTTTTTTGGTTCCCTGCCTTTTCATTTGCTTCTTGTGCTTGCACTGCTTTTTGATTTTTGTTATTTTCCTTTGCATTTTATCATTGTCCTTTCTTAGCCTCTGCCAATTTGCATCCATATCCCGCAGCATCATTCCACTACAGCACGCCAGCACGACCACACGACAAAACGAAGAAACGTTCCGACAGACAGACAGACGCATCCTTCACCTGCCATCCTAACCTCTCGGAAGACAAGCCACATAGCTTGATTTGCCATCTCCAAACAATCAACATCGCCAATCTTCATTTGCTACGCCCAGCCGTCCACGAAAGATCGTGGAATCTTGCCTTGCATCTGTTGGCCCCCGTTTCCTCCGCCACTTCCTGTCCCCTTCTTAAAATTTATTTGCTGATTTCACTCCCCCTTTCCGTCTAAACATTACTGCCTTTGCACTCGATTCTCAGTTTAACTGCACCGAGGTACTTGACAGCAGGCGCTGAAAGGCCCACTTGACGTTCCTTGCTCAACGAACCAAGAGTCGAGTCATTGCGTGTTGTTTTGAGCTATCAAATTACCAATCTGATCTCTCAATTTCGTCCCTTTTCCTCGTCGAGAAGGACCGCTCCGAATAAAAGCAAAGGTGTGCCTTCTTTGAGCCGCTGAAAAAGATCTAAAAAAAAATACGAAAACAAACAAATCTTAAAAAAAGGAGCGAGCTTGCTCGAGACCTTCAAACCCTACCCAGCTGCCATGGAGGACATGCAGCGCTCGCTGGGTGACAGTGTCATCGTCAGTGAAGCCCGCATTTTTGACCCGGCCAATGTCCAGGTGGCCAACTACGACCAGCTCGTCGTATCCGATTTTTCCAACATCCAGTTCCTCGAGGTCACCGACTCAGAAGCAGAGGACGAGGCAGAGTACAATGACGAGGGTGACGATGCAGAGGATCGCGAATATTACCACATTCCAGCCGTCAACTCTGAAGGCCGCACGGCTCCGACAACTATTCTGACGCCCGCCCAGAAGCGGAAAAAGGAGAAGCGGAAGTCCAGGAAAGCGAAATCCAATGCGGACAATGGTAGTATGTCTACGACCTGCGTCTACTGTAATAAGCAAAGCTACTAACACACACACAGATGCAGAGGAGGTAAAGTCACCAGCTACCGCTGGCTCCGAAGAGGATGGCGACGCTGCCACCTCGTCTCCAGCTGGCGCCAAGGCAACTTCGGAGGACTTGCGGAACCCCAAGATCAACGACAAGAAGAAGAACAAGCGGGCCGCCCAGAAGGCCGCCCAGCGCGGCGCGGCTGCTGCTGCGGCTGTTGCAGCCGATTCGGCGACCGCCAGTAGCAGTGGCACTGCAAGTGGCGTCACATCGTCGGGCGAAACTGACAAGCCGGCCACGGGCAAGAACAACAAGAACGACAAATCCGGCGGCAAGAACAGCAAAAAGGACAAGAATAAGGAAAAGAAGAACGGCAAGGGCGCCACAAAAGACGTCAAGGTCGAACCAACAAGTGAGGCCGCCGAGGCGCCCGCCGAAGCTCCCGCCGAAGCAGCTGCTGAAGCACCCGCTGAGGCACCGAAAGATGCTCTCGCGGCAGAGGAGAAGGCAACCCCTGAAGCCGCACTTGCAGGCACGCCTAAAGCCACCGCTGGGCCTGCTGCAGAGAAGACTGCTGCTGAGCCCAATGCTGAGCCCACTACTGAGCCTACTGCTGAGCGCGCTGCTGATCACACCACGGATGCACCGCCTGCTACGAAAGAACCCAAGTCAGAAGACGTGCCAGTAACTGCACCTGAAACGGAAGTTGCCGAGTCCGAACCCACACCGGCTGAGGAGGAGGTTCCTGCTGCTGCTGACGCCGCCGCTGTTGAAACTGCACCTGTAGCACCTGAAGCCACACCTACCGGTGAGGTTGCTCCTGAGGCAGCTCCTGACTCTGCTGCAGACACACCCGTTGAGGCGCCTGCTGAGGCACTTGGAGAGTCACCCGTGGAAGCCAAAGAAGTGACCGAGGCCGCCACAGACGACACGCCACAGGATGAGCAACGAGAACCCTCATCGCCCACGCCTTCGGGCAAGCGTGTCCACTTTTCAGACGATAGCAAGGAGGGCGATGACGTGGTCAAGGCCACGGAGGTGACCGAGCCAGCTAATGATTCTGCTGATGCTCCGACTGAGACACCTGTGGAGGCTACTGCCGAAGCTCCTGCTGAAACTCCCAAGGAGGTTGCCTCTGAGACTCCTGCCGAGACTTCGGACGAGATTTCTGTCGCAGAGCCGGGAGAGCCTACAGAGACTCCAGCTGATTCCGCCGCAAAGGCCACTACGGAAGCCACCACGGAAGTCACCGTCAATGCAGCTCCCGAAATGGAGAAGGCCGACGAAGCTCCTGCAGAGGCACCCACTACGGTGACCGAGGCTGCCGACGTTTCCGCCCCTGAAGCAACGGAAGACAAGGAAGTCGAAAATTCTATCGAAGAGGTAGCTCTTGTTGACGGGACTGCAACCATTGAGGAGGGTGTATCCGCTAAAGAGGCTACACCCTCTGAAGCCGTCGAGAAACCTTCTGATGATCCTCTTGAAGGTGCTGAGGAGCCCGCAGGGGCACCTGCCGCCATCACTGTTGACGAGGTGACCGAAGCTCCCGCTGAACCTACCAAAGAGGTCGAACCCGAGATCACGGCTGAGGCACCAGCAGAAGAGCCAGTCTCCACACCGGCCCCAGAAGTCGAGACAGATGCTACCGTTGTTGAGACCACTCCAGTTGAGACTCCTTCCGCTGAAGCTGCAACTACCGGGACGTCTGGTAAGGAGGGGGAAAAGAAAGAAATAGCCGAAGCACCTGCGGCTGAATCATTAGAAGAGCCAAAGGGCGAGGACGTTGAGGCACCCTCAGCCGAACCCGAGCAGGTTCCTGAGGAGAAGGCGGAGGTAAATACCGAGGAGACGGCCGAGGAGAAAACTGAGACCGTTTCTGAGCCGACACCGGAGCCAGCCTCTGAAACACCCGCCGAAGCTACTGTTGAATCCACCGCCGAGACACCAGCAGAGGAAAATGTCATTGAAGCAGCTGCTGAACCCGCTGAAGGTCCTGCAGTGGTTCCCACTAAAGGTCCTGCAGAGGCCGCCACAGACGATGCACCAGTTGAGCCGGCTGCCGCTGCTGGGGCCGAAGAAGCTGAAAAGGCCTCCGAAGCCGCCGCACCGGAAGTTCCTTTTACCGAGGCACCTGCCGAGACTGATGCTGACGAAACTGCTGCTCGAGAGGAACCGCCCACTGTTTTGGAAGTGGTTTCTGCTGAGAATGCTCCTGCTCCGTCGTCTGCGGACAAGGAGATCAAAGACGAGCCTACTGCTGAAGAGAACAAGCCGGAACCTGCTCCCGAGTCGCTTCCTGAGACCACCTTGGCTGCCGAGCCGGCGGGGCCTGCTCATTCCGGTCCGGAAGCAGAGACAGATACTGCTGCGCATGTCTCCGCTGAAGAGTCTTCGGACGCCCCCTCCGAACTTCCCGCTGATGTTTCCGCTGAGGAACCCGTCGAAGTATCTGCAAACGTATCCGCTGAGGCACCTGTGGAAAAGGATATCAAACTGGCTGCCACAGAGTCCGACGAACCTGTCGAATCGGAGTCCAAGCCCGAGGCAGACAAGGATACCAAAGATGAAGTTGAGGAAATGGTCGTGGACGTTGCTGAACCTGATTCAACTTCACCTGCCGCCCAGGCGGAGGATGAGACCGAGACCGAACCTCCTGCCGAAGGCAATGACGCAGACGATAGGTCCGAGGTTCTTAGTTCTCCTGCTGAAGATCCAGCCACGGAAGAGGTTGCCAGGGAAGAGAAGACCACTACTCCCGAATCGGCCCCCGAAGCAGCTGTGGAGGGTTCGAAAGAAGGTGGTTCCACCGTTGTTGAGGACGCCGCTACCGTAGAAGAGTCGCCAGAGGAGCCAACAGAATCGACAGAGGCTGCCGAGACGGATCCAGCTGACGAGTCTGAGAAAGTCGTCGAGGCGCCTGTAGAGGCTGACGAGGAAGCATCCGAGCCAACTGCCCACGAGCCTAGCCCTGAGACTTCTTCGGCAACTCCCAACGAGCCAGTCGTCGAGCCTACCACTGAGATTACCACTGAGACTGCCACTGACTCTGTTACTGAGGCTGAGGTTGAGGCTGAGGCTGCTCCCGAGCCCGTCGTCAAGCCTGCTGCTGGGCCCGAACCCGAGGAGCCGTCTACAGACAGCAAAGAAGATGCTGCTGCAGGTGTGGCCGCGGTAGCCGCTGTGGCTACTGCTGCTTCAGTAGCCATTGCTGCGTCGTCCGATGTTGAGGAGGAAACTTCTAAGGAAGACGAGAAAAAGACCGTCGCAGGTGCAGAGGCGGAAGAGTCCACTTCACCTGCCGAAGAAACCAAAGAGGTCGAGACTATCGAGGTTCCTGCCGCCGCACTTGAAGAAACCGCTACTCCAGCTGAGGCAGCGACTCAGCCAGAGACAGAGCCTACCAAAGAAGTTGTCGAGGCCGATCTAAAAGCAGAGGCCAAGGATGAAGAGTCGGTCACCGTGAAGACATCCGATGAGGCCACACCCGAGGAGACAGTATCTGCTCCTGAACCGGAAGCCACAGCAGTAGCGACTAATGAAGAGGGAGTTGCCACTCCCGAGGAAGCCCCATCCAAGGCCGCCGAAGACCCTGTCGCAGCTGGTGCCACTCAAGACGAGGCAACTGCCACAGATAATATCCCTTCCGTATCTGAGGAGACTCCTGTTGCTGCACCTGCCGAGGAAGCGGCAGTAGACGAGACTCCTAAGGACGAGCCTTCTGTCCCCAAAGAAGCTTCTGCCGAAGAGGCTGTTCCTGAACCTCCTGTTGCCGAGCCTTCCCTTGCCCAACAAACGGCTGCTCCCACCATCGAAGCTGACGCTGAGGTTAAGGACGCTGGCACGACTGAAGCATCTCCCGAGGAGCCGACCGCAGAGTCTGCTCCACCTGCGGATGCGGTGGACGAGGAGCCTGCGACTGAGAAGGAGGCTGACAAAACCCGTGAACCAACGGTCGAGCCCGAAGCTGTTCCCGCTGATGTCGCCAAGGCCGAAGCCGCTCCAGAGGTTGCCGAGGAAAGCGAGACTGTCAAGGAGGTCGCTGAGGATTTGCCAACTGAAGAGGTGACGGAGGATGTTGCTTCCGCACCCGACGCTACGGTCGAGGCCAAGGATACACCTGTCGCTGCGCCTACTGAAACGCTCGCAGAGGAGCCAATTGTGGCCCCTGCTGTAGAGAAGATGGTAGAGGTTGAGACCGAACCAGCCGAAGAAGACACCAAAGAGCCAGACAATAAGCCGACTTCCGAGCCCGTTGCCGAGGCACTTTCCGAAGATCCCACGACGGAGCCGGCTACTGAGCCTGAACCAGTGGAGGAGGCCAAGCAGGTCGAGACTGAGGAGACACCAGCGAAGGCAGCGGTTGCCGAATCTGCAGAGGAGAGCGAAACCGTTGAAGAAGGTGCCTCTGCTGAAGAAGCTGCCCCTGCTGAAGAAGCTGCCCCTGCTGAAGAAGCTGCTCCTGCTGAAGAAGCTGCCCCTACCGAAGAAGTTTCCGAGTCTCACGAGAAGGAACCAGCTACCGCGTCCGTGCCCGAGGCCGTTCCTGAAGTTGATGTTTCCCCTCCTCCTGCTCCTGTTGAGGACACGCCGGCTGCCGAGGAGAAGCCTGTCGATTCAACTCCTGGGGATTCAAAGGAGATTGCTGAAGCGGCACCAGCGGAGCCTCTCGTTGAACTTGCCGCCGACCGAGTCGATGAGTCGCCTGCAGTCCCCGTAGAGGCTGTCGATGAGCCAGCCGAGGCAGCTTCTGAGCCTGTTATTGAAGCTACCCCTGAGACCGCTCCTGAGACTATCCTGGAGCCTTCTCAGGAAGTTTCCGACGAAGTCGCGCCCGCAACCACGGATGAGTCCGCACCCGAGCCAGCTGTCGAGACCGTCCGTGAGACCGCCCCCGAGGCACATGCCGAATTCCCTGCTGATGTTCCCGCTGAGGCCACTCGTGAGATTGCCACAAAGGAGCCCGTTGTCACCGAGGCGACAGAAGAGCCTGCTGCCGAGGTGGCCCCCGCACCTGCCCCTGCACCTGATGCTGAGCCGGACGCTGAAGAAGCAAAAGACACCGTTGCGCCCATTCCCATTGTTGTTCCTCCACCGTTTCCCGCCGACACAGACAAGTCAGCCGATGCTGAGAGAAGAAGAAGACGCCGCAGTTCGAGAGGTGAGTTAAACCCCGATTCCCACGTTGATACCCTTGAAAATGTGCAAGTGAAAGAGGAGGAGGACGAAAAGGAGGACGTGAAAGAGGAGGAACCAAAATCAACAGCCGATGAGATACAAGAAGAGGCGACGAAAGAGATGGCACCACAAGAGGAGGCACCACAAGAGGAGGCACCACAAGAGGAGGCACCACAAGAGGAGGCACCACAAGAGGAGGCACCAAAAGAGGAGGCACCACAAGAAGAGGCCAAAGAGGAGGCCAAAGAGGAGGCCAAAGAGGACCAGGAGGAAACGAAGCAGCTGAAGGAGGAGGCAGTTGATTCTGGCATTGCGCAGCCATCAGAAGACAACGCACACAGACAAGAAGAGTTGGAGCCGCAGGTGACGGAAGAGGTAGAGGAAGAGAAGAAGGAGGCAGATGCACCAGTTGTTGAGGAGAAGAAAGAAGTGGAGAAGGACAAGCCGGTGGTGGAAGAGGAGAAGCCTGCCGTTCCCGCCGCGACAGAAGAAGTGGGATCACATCATGAACCGTCCACTTCTCAACTGGCAGCCGTCGGCGGTGGCATTGCAGCAGCCGCTGTTGCTTCGATTGCAGCGGCCCACAAAATGTCATCGAAGGAGACGACACCTGCCGAAGACAGCTCCTCCAAGGAAGCGACAGTAGTCGTGGCTGACGCCGACGCTAAACCAACTGAATCAACTCCCGCCCATGCCCTAGGGGCCATTGAGGAAGAGAACTCTGCTCCTTCACATGACAATGTTGACACCTCTGAGGAGCCTACAGCTGAGCAGGCCCCTCGTCAGATAAGGGAAGCCTCTCCAGTGACTGCTCTCATACAAGGCGCCGCTGTCGATGCCGCCGAACCGATCATTGGCGAGACCGTTACTACTGAACCTGTCGCATCCGCTGTCACTGAGCCCGCGGACTTTGAGCCTGTCTCCGTCAATGCTACCGTCGCCGACATCGAGACACTTGCCCAAGTTAACACCACTGTGACTTCTGAGGTCGCTGCACCCGAGCAGCCCGCTGAGATTGAGTCGGCCGAGGCAAAGATCGAGCCACAGCCAGAAGCCGCCGAAGACTACAACTCTGCCCCCGAAGAAGCGTCTGAGCACGAAAAGCCTGCGGAAATTGCGAAAGAATCAGAAGAGAAAGTGGCCACATCAGAAACACTTGTCTCTGAGGCCACCGAGCCAGACATCAAACCGGACGCCGACGAGGTGAACGCTGCTCCTACCGAGCCGACCACTGAGCCGACCACTGAGCCGACCACTGAGCCGACCACTGAGACATCCACTGTGGTTACCGCTGAGACAGAAGCAGAGATCATCACCGAGGAGCCTTCCGAAGCCCTCGTTGAAAAATCTCCAACTGAGGCCGTAGATGATGACGAGACCATCCCGGCTGAGACTGCAGCGGATGCTGTCGCCGAGGCGCCGGCTGAGATTCCAGACAGTGCTCCTGTTGAAGCCTCCGTCGAAGCTGCCACGGGGATTCCAATCGAGGCCACTGTTGGCGTCTCCAGCGACACACTTGAAGTCCCTCTCGAGCCTGTGGAAAAGACAGAAATGGTGGCTGAGGAGATAACTTCCGAGACTGTCACCGAACCATCTTCCGAAGCTCCTGCTGAAGCTGTTGAAGAAGCTCCTGCTGATGCTCCCGTCGATGTCACTACTGAAGTTCCTGCTGAGGCTACCTCTGAGGCTCCCGTCGAGATTCCTGGTGAGGTTGTTGCCGAAGCTCCAGTTCGGGTCGCCAGCGAGGAGGTCCTCGGCGATGAAGCTCGGGCCGAGACCACGGAGAAGACAGAGAAAATGGAAGAGGCGGTCGTCGAAAAATCGACACCGGAGCTTGCCGTCCAACCTGCCACCGAGCCTGTCGCTGAGGTACCTGTTGAATCTGTTGTTGAGGCTACAACTGACGACCATGCCGAGCCTGAGCTGCATGCCGAATCCCGCGAAGCTCCAACAATCTCCGAAGCAGAGCCTCTCACGGACGTGCCGACAGCAGAGGTTCAATCTTCTCCGGTGGAGACAGTTCCAAACGAGACTCAAGAAGCATCCCATGCCACCGAGGCTGCCCTCATCCCCAGGGAGGTCGCTACCACAGACGAAGCTCCCCTCCCAGAACAAGCTACTATCACGGAACTTCCGTCTTCTCCAGAAATCCCAGATGTCTCTGTTGCAGAGGTTGCCACCTCTCAAGACGAGGTCGAGTCTACTGTAAAGGTTGAAGCCCCGAACGCTGCTCCAGAGCTTGTACCAGCGGGTGCTACGGAAGCTACTGTTGAGGCCACGCCAGTCGAGACTGAAGCTCCTGCTCTAGAACCGGCAACTGAAGAAGCGGCTGCGTCCGTCGTGGAGGACACCCGAGCATCCGAGGAGGTGGCACCCACTGTTGAATCGGCGGTTGGGTCACCTATTGAAGAGGCTTTACCAGCCGTTGCAGCCGAGACCAATGACTTCTCTCCCACCGACTCGGTTGAGCCCAAGCTGGCTCTCGAGAAGACGATTGAGGAGACTGTCTTAGTCGAGGCGGAGAGTGTAGAGCCAGTCCCAACTGCCGTCAAGGCCGATTGGCCCGATGATCCTGCTGAGATTGCTGCTGCCGAAGTGGTTTCAGTAGAAGCAGTTCCTGCCGAGGCGGTCTCGCTCGAAGAAACTACAGTCGAGGACGACACTGTCGCAAAGGCTGTCACGGAGGAGTCTTCTGTCAATGTTGTCGAGGAACCTATCGAGACCGTCGAAGAATCTCCTGTCGAAGCAGTGCCAGTCAAGCCTACCCCTACAGAGGCTCCTGCCGAGCCGTCTTCAGAGGGAGCTCCGTCTAAGGTTGTTACCTCTGATGAATCGCTTACCGAAATCATTGCCGGCGACCCAGTCGAGGAAGTTCCAGCCGATGCCACTGAGCCGCCAATAGCGGTCATTGAAGAGCCCGAGACAACCCCATCCGAGCCAGCCATCGAAAGCGAGGCGCTTACCACGGCTCACGATGCCCAGCCGTCAACAGCAGAGGTGGATGTTCCAGTCACCGAGGAGCCTGTCGCCGAGACGTTCAAGGAAGTGCACGAGTCTTCAGAGCCACACGAAGAGGTCACCGAGTTAGACACCAAGCAATCCACAGATATGATTGTTGAGTCCGTGGCCAAGTCCGTCACCGGGCCAGCAGTTGAGCCAGCAGTTGAGCCAGCAGCTGAGCAAGCAGCTGAGCCCACCGTCGAACCTACTATTGAGCCCGTTGCGGAGCCCATCCATGAGCCACAATCGACTTCCACAGAAGACTCCATCACACCCGCGACAAGAGACACTCAGTTACCGACCAATGAAACGGGCGCCCTCGCCACTGCCCAACCCACAACATCAACATTTTCAGTAGCGTCGCCCAAGGACGTTCTCCCGCAAGTCGCCGCGGCTGCAATCACCGTGGCCGCCGTGGCCAACATTGTGGCAGTAGAAGGTGATGTCGGCGGAGACGAGGGGGTCAAGGAGGACACAAAAGAAACCAAGGACACCACCGCGCTTGCAACCAAGTCGGATCCAACCACTGCTGACACTGAACCCTCTTCAACTAGCTTGGACCGATCCGACGATGATGCACACGAATCTGCAGATGCTGTGGACACAGCTCCTGCACCTCTGGATGATGACCAAATTCATGGGACGAGCGGTGAAGTTCTTGCTGCGCCGGGTGTTTCTGAAGCTGAAACGGTGATTGCTGAGCCGGTGGTGACGGAAGAAGAGGAAGAGGAGAAAGAGGAGAAGGTAGAACAGCATGGGGAGATAAATGAGCAGGCAGTTCACCAGGACGTGGAGAAGGTGACTGACGAGTCTCTCACCACTGAGAAGACACCAGTTGAGCCCGAAACGATCCATGACATCGTCGAGGAACCAACACAGGGAGCAGTGCTCGAGACGGCACCAGAAACAGCAGTCGACAGTCCTCTTGCCACTCTGGAAATCGAGGCTGAGCCACCTACAACAGATCCTGTCAAGGACTCTCCCACGCATGAACCTGAATATACAGCTACTGAGGTCCCAGTTTCTGAGCGAGACGTTTTCGAGGCTGCTCCTGTGCCCGACGCTACTGACCATCTTGTCGTCGAGCCTGTTGTCGAACCTCTCGAGGCCGTTGTCGAGCCTGCTGTTGAGACCGTCGGTGAGCCTCTCGGTGAGCCTCTCGAGACCGTTACTCAACAAGACGACGAACCAGTCGCTGAGCCAGTCGCTGAGACAATTGCTGAGCCAGTCACTGAGACAGTCGCCGAGCCACTGGTTTCAGAGGCTGTTCCTGAACGCGACGCTACTGTCGAGTCAGTTGTGGAGCATGTCACCGAGCCCGTCATCGGGCCGCCTGCAGAGCCTACAGAGATTTCTCGCGAGCCTCTTGACGCACCAGAACTTCCAGAGGTTGTTCCTGAACCCGAAGCGTCTGTTGAGCCTGTCGTTGAACTTGGTGCAGAGTCTGTTGTCGAACCTGCCGAGACCGCTCCTGAGGCGGTTGCTGAGACCGAAGTTCCTGAAGCTATCCCTGAGCCAGAGACCTCTGTCGATCCTGTTGTGGAGACTTTCGGTGAACGTGTCAAAGAGCTTGTCGTCGGGTCCGAGGGTGTCCCTGAGCCTGAATTGGCTGCCGAAAAGCATTTTGAAGAATCCGTGAAGACTGTTCGAGGCCCAATTCTTGAACCGGTTTCCGAGTCGATTTCTGAACCGGCTTCTGAGCCAGTTGTTGAGGCGGTTGAGACTTCGGATCCGGCAGAGACAGCTGAGCCAGTTCCTAAATCTCCTGTTCAACCTACTACAGACCAAGAGGACGAGGAAACCAAGGAGACATCCGAACTCACCTCGGAGACAGCGGTCGACACCTTGGGAGAACCGACAGAAGTTTCCGCCGAGCCTACTCTCGAGCCTGTTCTCGAACCCACTTCTGAGCCTCCTGTGAATCCTGTTGATGTGCCGGTCTTACATCATGTTGAGGCTGTTGCTGAGCCGGTTCCCAAGGCTGATGAGACTGTGGTTGAACCTTCGCTTCAAGTGTCTGCTCCTGAGCCAGCTGTCGAGGCTCCCTCTGATATTGTGACCGACGCCCCTGGTGAGGTCACAGAGGATGAGGTCGACCCTGCGCCTGAGCCCGAAACAGTTCTTGACGCCACACCAACCACCTCTCCAACCCGTGACACCGAAGTGCCAGCAGCATCGGAAGCTGTAGTCGAGGAGAGCACAAAACCTACGACCGAGCCCATACCAAACGCCACGGAAGACGCTGAGGCAAACAGTGCTGAGCCACAAGATAAGATCGAGGCCAACGTTGACATAGTCACTTCCTCTGAGGCCGTCCCTGAGGTTACCGCCGAATTGGCTCCGGCAGAAGCATCCGTTGAGACTGCTCTTGGGGTACCTATCGAGGGAACAATCGAGGTTCCTTTCGAAAGTCATGTCGAGACTCCTACCACGGCTCCTGCCGAGACTACCTTCGAGACCACCATTGAGACCCCTGGCGAGGCTCTAATTGACGTTGAGAAAGACATCTCAGAACCTGTCGAGGAGCCTACTGAGCCCTCTGAGGTTGTCAATTCGCCTGCCGAAGCTGCTGCCGACCTTTCAACCGGTGTTCCTGTTCTCGATCGTGTGGCTACCTTTGAAGTTCCCGCTGAAGTCCCGGCTGAGACTGAGGTTGAGGACGAGGTGCCAGAGAAAGTCCATGACACTCCTCAACAAGAGGCTGAAGAAGTGACTGCTGGTGATAGTGCTATTGTCGAGGCTGAAGATGTCGAACCAGATTCTGTCCGCGAGCCGATCGAAGAGCTCAATGTTATTGACGCATCTGTTGTCGACGAGCCTACGGAGGAGACTGCCAGCCAAGAACCCACGTTCTCTAACGAGTCCGACAAGCCAGAAGAAGTCACAGCAATGAACCTCACTCAAGAGACTTCTGCCCTCCACTCGTCAGAAATCATTGTGCCTCTTGCCACGGAAAACAGTGTCCTGAGCCTTCCTGATGAAAATCCTTCGGCCGCCGCGGAAGAGGTAGTTGAAGACACCAGAGATGTACCAACTGCCAATGACACCTTTGACGAGGACTACGTCATTGTGGACTCTGCGCCGACCGCCGGGGACGAGCCGAGCAAGCTACTTGAAACTGGCAACGAGTCTGCTGATTCATCGGAAAAGACAGCCATTGAGGATCAAGCTGCTGCGGCATCTTCTTCCGGGGAATCTGCGGTCAAAGACGCTGCTGTCGAGGACTCTATCGAGAAATCTGCTGCTGAAGAGCCTGCTGCTGAAGAGCCTGCTGTTGAAGAGCTTGCTGTTGAAGAGCTTGCTGTTGAAGAGCCTGCTGTGGAAGAGCCTCCTATGGAAGAGCCTCCTATGGAAGAGCCTCCTATGGAAGAGCCTCCTATGGAAGAGCCTCCTATGGAAGAGCCTCCTATGGAAGAGCCTCCTATGGAAGAGCCTCCTATGGAAGAGCCTTCTATTGAGGAGCATTCTATTGAGGAGCCTTCTATTGAGGAGCCTGCTGTTGAGGAGCTTGCTGTTGAAGAGTCTGCTACTGAACCGTCTCCCGTTTTTGAGGAAGCAGCCGCTGCAGAGACAAAAGCACCAGTCAAAGAAGAGTCCTCCTCTACCACCGCCGAGCGTGGCCTTCTTGCCGCTGCTGGTATTACTGCTGCCGTTTCTCTTGCCGGTAGTGCTACTGTTTTTGCACAGAGGGCCGACAAAGATGTAGAGAAGGAAGCCGAGCAGCCAACAAGCATCACAGACTCCACACCAGACCTCGTCGAGGTCCCGGCTCTGATTGAGCCCGATATGATCACCCCCGAGATTGTCGAGGAGGCCCTATCTCAAGAACACACACAGCCTGTCGAGTCCCCGGACGAAGAGCCCATAATCTTGTCGCGTGAGGTGGAGCCACCTGTCAATTCGGCCAAGAGCAATGATGGGGCTACCCCCGCTGCAGATGCCGTTGTTCCCGAGCCAGCTACTGGAGCTCCCGCTCCTGTTGAGATTGCGTCTGCTAAGGCCTTGCTTGTCGGAGAGGATACTGTCCTTAAAACTGCGCCCGATGTTGATACAGAAGTTCCAATCGACCCTGCCGAGGTTGCTGCTATCGAGACCGCTCCCGTGGACGCATATCCTGTCGAACCTGAAGCTGGTCCATCAACTCCTCTCACCCCCGACTCCAAGGTGGATGAGGCTCCAGTTGCTCCGAACAGTGACAAAGACAAGAAGGAAGAGGCTTCTGTCACCGTCACGGCACTGCCGACATCAGACCTGAGCCACGTCTCCGAAGTCAGTCACGCCGTTGGATCGCAACAGGTCGTGGCCACAGTCGAGATTCTCCCAGAGCAGTTGAGCCCCATTGTTGAGACGCCTCAAGTGGTGTCCAAGGAAGTCACAGCAGAGGTGACGGCAGCCGCCAAGGATGTTCCCGCTCCCGTCGCACAAGAAGAGTCGTTTGAGCACATCACTGCCCCTGAGACTGTAATCGAGACTGCACCGAAGTCTCATCCAACAGAAACTTCTGAATCTTCTGCTCCTGTCCAGAACCCCGCAGCAGAGGACTCGCATCTCAAGGAGAAGATTGCCGCCGCGGCTGTCGGTGCTGCTGCACTTTTGAGCGGCGCTGGCCTTGTCGGCTACACTCATGCCGAGTCCGCCAGCAAATCCAAGGACAGCAGCAGCCACGAGCGTGACGTCGAAGAGCTCGAAAAGCTGGCGGCCCTTGCCCCGTCACCCGTCCCACCCGAGATGCTCTCATCGGGTGAGCTTCTCAACGCCGCCGAAACGGAGGCTGACGTTCGTTCCATTTCATCGGGAATCGGTGCCTCGCAGGTGCTGGACGAGAAAGTACCCCTAACCGAGTCGTCTACCGTCGTGGACCAGCAGCCCAGAGAGGCAGCCAAGGTCGAGTTCCTGCCACCTCGTGCATCATCGTCTTCACTCGCAGTGCGTCCGGGCATCAGCTCGGAGCTGTTGCGGGCCCCGACGCCGGCGGTGGTCATTCCGGACCTGGAGGATAAGCAAGTCAAGGAGCTTGGACGTGTGCGCAGCATCAAGAAGCGGCAGAAGCAAGTAATTCGCGATACAGAGGACACAGTGGCGGCGGCAGTGGTGATCTATGCGACAGCAGAAGTGTTGAGCCGGCCCGGATCGCCGACGTTGAAGCCGTTGGATGTGCCAACGAAAGTGGAGGGGAAACATGTAGAAGACGAAAATGTAGAGCGGGGACAAAAGAGTGTCCGGGATGGCGAAAGCGAGGTTGTGCCTCTTGTTTTGGATTCTGGAGTGGGAGAAATGGGGAAAGATGGTCAAAAGGAGATTGGACGAAAGGATGGAACGGGTGGAGCAGAAGGAATGGATGGAAATGGATACACACAGACACACGAGAGAGCATTGCGCGATTCTGTGGCTGACCTCTTTGCAGACGAGAAGCTGGCGGAGTCGTCCGCCGACTATAACGCCACCCGGTCGTCCCGGTCGCGCGGCGGCGAACACCACTCGTCGCGGTCCAGCCGCGATGCGAGCAAGGAGGCCACCTCGAGCAGTCGTCACCGGCACCGCAGCCACCATGACACCGGTGGACGTTCTCCCCCGGAGCGCGAACGCTCGCAGCCGACCACACCCCGGCGCCAGGACAGCGGTTTCTCGGTGCAGAGCGGACACAGCGGCGGCAGCGGTGGTCGTGAGAGCGGTGGCCGCGACGGTGCTGGGCACGGCTCGAGCAACTCCTCGCCGCGTAAGTCGTACCGTTCTTCGCGCGACCGCGACGACAAGGATCGCAGCCGTGTCGAACAGGACGCCGAAGACCAGTACCGAGCCGAGCGACGCGCTGGCCGGCATCCCCGTGATGCGCGCGAGAAGCTTGCAGCCGCAGCCACAACGGCCGGGGGCAGCAGCAAAGGTAAAGAGGATGATACCGAGAGGCTGCGCGATCGAGAGCGCGACCGGAACCGAGACCGAGACCGAGACCGAGACCGCTACCGTGAAGGCGATCGCGACCGCGAACGGCGCAGCTCGCGCCGCCACTCCGGCCAGCACAGCAGCTCCCGGCCGACGACGGCTGATGCTGGATCCGCCCGTGTTCCGAGTGCCTCTGCAGCACCGAAGTTCTTTGACGTCAAACATGCGGCCAGCACCGTGGAGCCCAAATTTGGCTTGCACGACGGTAACGCCCCTCAAAGCATCGACAACACTGCCAGCACAGCCAGCCCAGACACTGCCCCAGCACCAGCACAAGCACCCGCCCAAGTCCCGTCCTCACCATCTGCACCACCTGCTCCACCCATCAGCTCCACTTCACGAGACAAGGAGAGACGCGAGTCAAAAGAGTATCGCCGCAGCAGCGACCGGAGAGTGCGGGGAGACAGGGAACGAACTGAAGCACAGACAGAAGCACAGACACAAGCACCTTCCAGTTCTGACAGACATGACCCTCTTCCCAAGCGCTCAAGTACAACCCGCTCTCGCTATGGCTCAAGCAGACGCTCCGAAGACGCGGCCGCCACCGACCCAGGAGCGACGACAACGAAGACGGCATCGACAGCGATACCAGCAGTTTCGACCTCGGCCTCGTTGTCGTCCCGGATGCGACTCCAGAAGCAGCACTCGCAGCATGAGCCGTCCTCGTCGTCCCGCGACAAGGACAACAGCAAGCACTACAGCCACGGTCACAGCCACGGTCACAGCCATCGCCATCGTCGCCAGAGCGCTGACGTCGGCCGCAGCTCCTACTCGAAGGAGACACCACGAACAGTGCCTCCCCTGGACCGGGAGGCGACCGAGTCCAAGGATCAACCAGTAGCCCCGGATGGCACGGCCGCAGAGGTGACAGCATCGTCGTCGTCCACCCGGCCCGGTGCGCACGGTGCGGTAGCCGCCGTGGTGGACGGGAAGCACCGCCAAGATCGGCAGGAAAAGCGAGACAAGGTCAAGTCGGGCGAGGATAAGAGACGTAGCCTGCGGGCCATATTCAAGAAGTTGCTTTCCACGAAGGACTAGGAGAGATGATAGTTAAGAGTGTGAGTTGCGTTGTGTTGTATTGTTTTCGATTCTGTATTTGCTCATGATTTTTCTTGCGCATTGGTTTTGTCATGACGTCTCTGCATCTATGCGTTTATGCGTCTTATGTTTGGATATGGCTCTGTTTTTCTGTTCCTTTTGTTAGCCAGTTTGCTCCTTTATCGCAAGTTTACCCACGAACCATGTATGATAACGAATATCACGACGAGTTAAATTTCAATTTCCAAAAGTTGAGTGTCCAAAATGCTATGCCCTCATGATGTTATACGCGCCAACGTCTCGTCGTCTAGAGCTTTGCCGCCTGTTGCACGTTGGGTCCGTTGGGTCCTCTCGGCCCATAAACAATAGCCGTGTCAATCGCCAGACGCTGCTCAACAGGATCCGATTCTGCCATCTTTGCCGCATCCGAATCTCTGCCCAAAAAACCCTTCGTCAATAAGTACCGCTGGCTCATCGCCGCAGCCGCTGTTGATCCGTCGCTGTGTGCGTCGGCCGATAGTAGGCCCGCAATCAAAATCTCGGCGGCGCTGAACAAAATCGACCGCGCGTCCGCCAGCAAGATGTCGGCCGAGGTCGTCTCAATACGCGTACGCAGGGCCGCCCACGCCGGGAGCAAGAGCGACGACGCGACCGTGTCGCCGACCACAGACGTCTTGACCAGCCACTCCAGCGCGTCCAGGCTCTCCTTGCCGGACTTGCGGTGCGTCAGTGTCCGCACCAAGTCCGTACTGAGCACGTCCGTTGTGCCTTCCCAGATGGCGTTGACGGTGCCGTCGCGGAACAGCCGTGCCATGTTGAGCGCCTCCGACTCCGTATTCATCAGGTAGCCGACGCCGCCCAGGGCTTCCATGCACACAGAATGCAGCAGCGGCACCGACTGCTTGCAGACGTACGCCTTGTGCAGCGAGCTGAGAGCGCGCAGCAGCGGTGACACGGTCGGGGCCGGGGGGTGCACGAGGTCGCTGCCTGCACCGCCAGCGCCGCCGTGCTTGCCGCTCTTGTTTGTGCTTGGTGTTTGGCGCTCGTCCAGGCCCATAATGTGCGCCGTGTAAAACGTCAGCAGCATGAGTCCATGGTAGTCAATCGTCAGGTTGGCCAGCGTGCGCATGTGCAGCGGGCTGCGGTACAGCAGCAGCCGCGACGCGCCGCCGGCAGCGCCGCTGATGGTCCGCTTCAGCGAGTACGCCTTGGCCACGCCCAAACCGCGGCCCGCCAGGCCCAGACACGCAATCGAGCAGTGCACGCGCGTAATGCCCAGCACCGTCGCAATCTCGCGGATGCCGTTACCCTCCTGGCCGATCATCCACGCACGCATGCCCTTCAACTCTAGCTCGGCCGTGGGCACGGGCCGTGTTCCCGACTTGTCCTTGAGACGCTGGATGCGCACGCCGTTGAGTTCTGTGTTGTTTTGCGTTTGTTTCCGGCGACTGCCCGTGGTGACCTGTGTGGCGGGCGCCGAGTCGGGACGCCGCCGCCGCATGGGCGCGTAAAACGCCGACAATCCTTTGCCTGGCTGTGTGCGCGCCAGCAGAATTGTCATGCCCGCATCTGTGGCCGACGAGAACCACTTGAACCCATCAATGGACCATGGTCCCAGCGGTAGCCCGTCCGCATCAACATCATCACCAGCGCCCTGACCATGGTGCTGTTGCTGTTGCCCAACAAACGTCGCTGTCGTCTCCGTCTGCGACACGTCCGACCCGCCCGGCCGCTCTGTCATCCACTGTCCACTCGTCCACGCCCGCTTTGGGTCGCGCGATGTCAGCCGGTCATAGGCACTCTGGAGTACCCTGCGCTGCGTCTCGGACATTTTGGTCTCCGACGACGCCGGTGTCTTGGCGTCCAGTGCCAGATGCCGCTGCAGCAGCCGTGTCGCGCCGTCCGTCATGGCTCCCGGGCACGTCGTGCTCGCGCCCGACGGCTCCCACAAGTGGCACCGTAGCATCTGCAGCACACGCGCATGCGCACCGTATGCCGCATGGTCTTGTGTATAGTTGTACGCCACAATGCCGCGCTCAATCCCAAACGCCTGCAAGCCGCGCCAGCCTTCACCCGTCACGAGTTCGCTCGTTGGCCGGCCCAAGGCATTGCGTCCGCCACCGCGCAGGTACGGCAGGTTGCGCTCAGCGTCGGTAATGAGGTCAAAGATGTGCGGCGCGAGGACATCGTCGGCGAGCTGAGCGATTTCAGGCTCGACTTCGTTGCGAATGTCGGCAGGGATCAGCACTGGGGCAGGTCAGCGGGCTCGTCTTGACACGAAAGCATCAAAAGTGAAGGAAAATAATAAACTAAAACAAAATAGACACATACGCTTCAGAACACGCTGTACACTGATGTCGTCGTAAAATTGATTTGGGAGCTCCGGAAGCTCCTGGAAGAAGCCCGTATTAGAGCTGGACGGTTCCATGGTGGGCGTTGTCCTCTGTCCCTGCAAAAGGCTGGTGACGAAATTGAACAGGTGCAAAGGTCAAAAAGTGTTCAAAAAGGAGACGGACAAATTTTGACGACAATCAGACAGTCGAGACTTCCTTGGATTGCTTTTTTGGGACTTGCTTCGTCTTCTGATACTCATGGCAGGCCCGCTTGCAGCGTATTGCTGTTTGCTCTTTCCCTGCTCCACGCCAGCCGAGGCACCACTGATCTCCGCCAAATGACAGGTGCGGAATTGATTCCTATATTGTTCCCCAGCCGGGGAAAGAGCAGGACAGGTTAGTGCATGCATGTGCCTGTGGGTGACGTCCTATAACAGTCGCCCCCACCTGACGGGAGCCTAGCCAACGCACGTGCTCACGCAACAGCTCCAAAGCACTTTACGCCAATCTGCGCCCCTCTTCCGCTGGCTCCAATTCTCGCGTCGCGTCTTCATCGCCATTGTCAATTCACACCCCCAGCACAAGGCATACGCAATGCCCACGTAACTACCATGGCAGCGCGCAGCGCGTCGGCGCGATACGAAGGGATCGTCATTGACGAAGAGTCCACGGCATCCGAGCTCGAAGTCGATTCTGACCTTGATCTGGAGCCGTTCGACACGCCGAGACCATCCAAAGGCGTCAAAAGACGACGATTGCATGTAGCCGACCATGTCGACGACGAAGAAGGAGAAGAGGGAGCTGAAGTGGGACCGGACGATCCGGATCGGGGCCCAGGGAAATGCCCTCGACCAGAAGATTTAAGTGTCAAGATCGAGTGGACCGACGAGTCCGACGGCGAATACGAGCGGCTCAAAAAACGCAAAAGGGGTGGAGGAGGCGGTCGAGGTAGAGGCCGGGGAAGAGGGCGCGGACGAGGCAGGTCAGCCGCGGCCGGGCGGAAGGACGTCAAGGGCAAAGGAAGGGCAGAATCGACAGCACGTGCAGACAATGACGAGTTCGTGAAGGGGGAGAACGAGGACGAGGAGGGCGTCGCCATTCCAGAATACATCCGCAAGCGCCGCCGTGATTTCGACAAAAAACGAGCGCTCCTGAAAGACGCCGGCCTTCGGCTCCCTCCCGATTACACGGAGATCTACTTTTCCGACGACGACAACGACCGGCGGCGTCATCGTGTTCGTCCAGATGGATCCGACCGCGCCAAGAGCAACGGTAGCCATTTGCCCCAGACATCGCTCCAAACTCGGCCCCAGTTCGACAGCAGTGTGCGGCCATCCCGCGAGCGGAAAGACATTGTGCTCGAGTTCTCGGCGGGTGTCATTCCGGCTTGCATGGCCCAGTACCTACGGGACTACCAGGTGGCCGGTGTGCAGTTCTTACACCAGCTGTTTGTCTACCAAAAGGGCGGCATTCTGGGCGACGACATGGGCCTCGGCAAGACCGTGCAGGTGGCTGCCTTTTTGACGGCTGCCTTTGGCAAGACGGGCGACGAGCGTGACGACAAGCGCATGCGCAAGATGCGGCGTGCAGGGCCTCCAGCCGGTGCCATCGGTGACGGTGACGGCGACGACCCCGACAGCCGTTGGTACCCGCGCGTGCTGGTCGTGTGCCCCGGCTCGCTCATTCAGAACTGGCGCAATGAGCTGCAGCGCTGGGGCTGGTGGCATGTTGACCTCTACCACGGTTCCGGGAAGGACGATGTGCTGCAGGCTGCCCGTGCCGGGCGTCTCGAGATCATGGTGACTACGTACACCACCTATAAAAACAACAAGGGCCGTATCAATTCGGTGTCCTGGGATGCCGTCGTCGCCGACGAGTGCCACATCCTCAAGGAGCGCAAGTCCGAGACGACCAGCGCCATGGACGAAGTCAACGCTCTGTGCCGCATTGGCTTGACAGGAACGGCCATCCAAAACAAGTACGAGGAGCTGTGGACCTTGCTCAACTGGACGAACCCGGGCCGCTTTGGCACGTTGCGCGAGTGGCAGCAGACGATCAGCAGGCCTCTGACCATTGGCCAGTCGCACGACGCCACTCTCTTCCAGCTAAGTCTGGCCCGAACAACGGCCAAAAAACTAGTCCAGAACCTGCTGCCCGAGTTCTTTCTGCGACGCATGAAGTCGCTCATCGCCCACCAGCTGCCGCGCAAGACCGACCGGGTCGTCTTTTGCCCACTGACCGACCGCCAGAGCCAGGCCTACAAGAACTTTGTTGACAGCGAGCAGGTCGAGTTCTTGCGCCGCGTGTCTTTTCCGTGCGATGAACATCCGCACCGAAAGCGTGGCTGGTGCTGCTACAAATATGTCTCCCCGGTACCTGGAATGAAGGTGAGCTGGTTCAGCCTCGTCTTTCCAACGATCCAGAACCTGCTCAAGCTTTCGAATCATCTGACGCTTCTCATCCCGTCAGCTGACGGCGTCGTGGGCACGGCAGAGGAAGATGAGCCGGATCCCGACGACGTTGACGACGAGGAGGAGGAAGAGGAGAATGAAGTCGAGCAGGGGAATGGCGAAGGCAGTTCACGGCGGCCTTCCTCGACCGCATCGGTTGCCGCCAAAATCAAAGCCGTCTCGGCCGCCAAAGCCGCCAACGACCGTTACAAACGCGCCATGGCCGTCCTCAAGACCTGCGTGCCGGACGACTGGGAGACGCTCTACCGCCAGCGTGACTCGCTCGTCAACTTGGCGAACCCCGACTTCTGCGGCAAGTGGAAGGTGCTGCGCAAGCTGTTGCGCTTTTGGCATGAGAACGGCGACAAGGTGCTCGTGTTCTCGCACAATGTCCGCCTCCTGCGCATCCTGCAGCACCTGTTCCACAACACGAGCTACAGCGTCAGCTACCTCGACGGCTCGCTCAGCTATGATGAGCGCCAGCGCGTCGTCGACGATTTCAATGCCGACCCGGCCCAGTTTGTCTTTCTCATCTCCACCAAGGCCGGCGGCGTCGGACTCAACATCACCTCGGCCAACAAGGTTGTCATCTTTGACCCGCACTGGAACCCGGCCTACGACCTGCAGGCCCAGGACCGCGCCTACCGTATCGGCCAGGTGCGCGATGTCGACGTGTTCCGCCTCGTGTCGGCCGGCACCATTGAAGAAATTGTCTACGCGCGCCAAATCTACAAGCAGCAGCAGGCCAACATTGGCTACAGCGCATCGTCCGAGCGGCGCTACTTCAAGGGCGTGCAGCAGGACCAGACGCGCCAGGGCGAGATCTTTGGCCTCAACAACCTATTTACGTTTTCTGCCGACCAGGTCGTGCTCCGCGACATTGTCAACAAGACCAACATTGCTGAGGCCAAAGTGGGTGTGCACCTGACGGCCATTGACATGCAGCAGGCGGCGGCCGACAAGGACAATGAAATGCTCGTCAAACTGGAGGGCGCCGCCAGCAATCACCAAATGGCCGCCATTATAAAGTCTGAGGGAGCCGACGACGACGATGACAAGAACGGCGCCGCAGACAAGAAACTCGACAGCCCGCCTGGCAAGCGAGATGCGATTCAGGCCATCCTCGCAAGCGCCGGCGTCGAGTACACACATAACAACTCGGAGGTGGTCGGCAGCAGTCGCGTCGAGGCCCAGCTGTCGCGTCGCGCCGAAATGGTCCTGGCAGAAGAAGGTGGTATGGACGGCGGCGGTGGCCGTGGCGACGATGACGAAGACGACGGTGATCTGGACGGCCACAACACCAGTCGCGTCAGTGTCACCAACCGAAGTGCCTACTACGGCCACGACCAGAGCGACAGCGGTAGTCATATTGACAGCCTGTCGGACAACGACAGCGTCGCAGCCTATGAGGCGAACGTCGGAGACATCAGTTCGACCATGGCCGACACTAGCACTGCTTTCCGCTCTGCCCGCGACGCCGATTTCTCAGGGTTCTATGCGTCCTTGCTTCTTGGCCAACGCCTGCAGTACAACCCGCCCGACGACGTCATGCGCCGCCAATTTTGCACCATGGCGCGCGAGGCCGGCTTTGCCACGGCCACGGACTTTGCCGTGGTCGTCGAAGGTTGGACGCCCGAGCAGCGGCGGCAGTGCCTCGAGAAGTTTTACCGGAAGCGCGAACTGCTGCTCCGCGAACAGATGGAGGCCTCGCGGGAGACAGAAAGCGAGGGTGAAGGAGACGAAGAAGGTGGCCTCACGGTAAGGGAGCAAATCAAAGTTGACGAAGAACGCGACGAGGATGAACCGAAAGAAGGCGAAGTGGCCTCCTTGGTCGTCATCAGCGAGGACGTTGTGGAGAGACGCGAGCGGATCATGAGAATGGACGACTCAGACGACAACAGCAAGGGCAAAGGGAAAGAGAAAAAGATAGACGGCAAGATCATCAAGGAAACCAAGAAGGTGGAAGATGATGCCGACAAGTTGAATGGCAAGAAAGAAGCCAACGAAACGAACCCATTACCACAAATCAAAAAGGATGACGATGGCGACGACAAGGGCCCGGTCAAGACAGAAGCCACCCTCCCCCGGATCAAGCGCGAACCGCACAACAAGACGGTCCTGTCGACACAGGCCACGACTACGCAGCCTACGCAAGATCAGGCAACTCCGCCAGTCACGTCTGTCGCGTCTGTGCGCATCAAACACGAGGACAGCACGGCACGGTGGGAATCGCCAGCCGACGAAGCCATGGCGGTGGACGATGCTGCCGGGAACTCACATGACGATAACGTTGTCGTTTTGCTCTCCAGCAGTCCAGTTGCTGGTCCCGCAGATAGGGAGCCGGAGCCTGCCTCAGTCGTCGAGGTGCCCGACCTGCGGACATCGGTGCCGCCCATCTCGCTTACACGCGCGATCCATGAAGATATCAGCGACTCGGACGACACGGATGAATTGTAATTTTGTGTATATATTTTGTATTTTTATGATGATATGATACCCTATTTAGAATTGACGCCAAGGAAACAAGTTTCCCATGCACATTTCAAATTATGACGTAACAATATATAATTTTTGAAAAGTAATGCTTACATTGTTGTGTGCTTGTATTGATGAATATGGGGCGTGATTGTAAAACATTGTTATTTCCATATAAAATAAACGTGTCAATATTTATGTCTTGTTATGTTTTCATCTTCAGATAAAAACCAAGACGAAAACTCGCACGGTAAATTGGAAAATTTTACGTCACAATATTGGCTCCTTTAGAGTTTCGATATTGACCGGAAGCCTGTGAGATAGATAGCACATAATCAATAGACGCTCGAACTGAAAAAACAAGCCATTCCCATAACATGCCCATCCTTGTCCTGGTAAGTATTGTTTTATGAACGGACTCTCACTCAAGATTTTGTCCGATATTGCAGCCACGCCGATACCTTTCTGTTGTTGATGTTGATAAAAAGAGACAAGAAAAACAATGAAAAACAATGGAAACAGAACACAGTCAAACTTGAAAAAATCAAATATGGCAGAACATGGCCACAAATACCCCCATATACCCTTTGAAAATACGAGACTCCACGGCGTCCCATATCTCCCTAAAATCGTACATGAACATTCCCCTTTACTGGGTTGCATGGCATTATGCGGCATCCACAGTACGGGCCTTCTTGGCCTCTTCGTCCGATCCGTCAGCCGGCTCCTCGGCCTTCCGCTTGCCATTAGTCGAGGAGGCATCCGCTGACAGGGCAGCAGGAGCAGGGACATCCTTAGCCTTCTTGCGGACCAGGCCCGTCAGGTCTGTGGCGGGCTTCTTGGCATCGCTGCCAACGGCACTGCCACTGCCACTGCCACTAGCACCGCCGAAGCCACCCGCAGCGCCGCCGCTGAGGGCGCCCAGCAGGCCGCCCAGGCCGGCACCCGCAGGGCCGTTGACAGCCGCGTTCAGATCAATGGGAGGTTTGCGCAGGTCGACAAGCTAAATTTCGTAGTCGAGCAAAAAGAGGTTAGCATTTGGTCAAAAGTATGGGGAGGAGCGTTTGAGACCGGTGTGATCATGGTACGGCTGTTGGCCTCGAAAGGGAACGAAAATAGAACCGATCCGCAAGGCCAGCAACGATATAGACGTGCAGGAAGATGGGCAACCGAATACACCTGGGGTCGACAATGAAAAAAGGGACGGAAAAGGGACGGATAAGGGACGGAAAGGGAACAAAAGCAAAGAAAATGCCGGTCCTACCCGTTGCTCCATGTCGGAAATGATATCTTTGACCTCGGTAATTTGCCGACGCGTTGAGTCGTTGTCTTCTGGCGAGTGCAGAGTGGCCAGTTCGACCTCCTTGCTCTGGAGCTTGAGCTTGGTGCTGGCAATGGCCGCCTCGAGCTCGCGGGCCGCCTCGTCGCGCAGCTCCTGGTCGACTTGCTGTGTCTGCTGCTGACCGCCGTCGGCAGCGGCGCCGTTGCCGTTGCCGTGTCCATTGTTGGAGTCCTCACTAGCGGTCGTGACAGACGCAAACTCAAGAGCCAGAGACAGCTTGAAATGGGCCTCGGCAATGATTTCAGAGTCTTCGGACAGGTACCGCTTCTTGTAGGCCAGAGACGCGCGGGAGTCTACAATGGCGTTGGGGTATCTGTTTTGGGAAGAAAGAAAATAAAAGGTGAGAAGGTGAGCTGCAAAAGAAGACAAAAAGAGTTGAGGCGTGTGGTGTAGATCTCTTTTTCAAACGACGGGTCTTCTTCGGTTCACCCTCCTCCTTTCGCTCTCACCCATTGATTTAGGCGAGAGTGAATTCCTTCCTTGCGCACAAAAGCAGAGTATCTTACCTCTCATTCTCGAGCGAGATCTCGGCCAGGAGATCGTGTGTGTCGGCGAGACGCTCCAGGACGTGGCGTAGGTCGCCGGACACGCCTGTCGCAATGGGAGACGCAGCCTCGTCGCCGTCGGCCTTGCTCTCTTCAACCTCCTTGCCCTTGCTAAGGCCTTCCGCTTCGGCTCCAGTGTCCGTGGCGCCTTCCTTGTCCTTCTTCTCCTCGAGCTGTCTTTCAAAGAGAACGCGCGACAGGTCGAGCACCTCAAAGGCCACGGCAAGGTCGTCTTCCTCTTCCTCGTCGCCCTCGCCGTCGTCGTCGCCGCCCGCGGCATCCTCACCCGCTTCGTCGTCCGACGCATCCCACTCCTCGTCGCCGGTAAATTGGAAGAGCGGCTTTTTGGCCTCGAGCGCCGCCGCCTCCTCCTTGGTCGCACCCGACGATGCGCTCGCCACGGGATCGCTGTCGCTGGCGCCACCGATGGCCTTGGCAATGATGCCGGAGCCGCCCGCGGCGGACTCCTTTTTGTCTTTTTGCGCCTTCGGGGCCTTCTTCGCATCCTCACTCGTCTCCGGCGCCTTGCCACCTAGCACGTCGCTCTTGCTCTGGCCGACCTTGAACAGGGCGCGGCCGTACAGGAACAGAATCTCGGCGTTTTCGGGGTCCATCTCGCCGTTGATCTCGGCCTGCATCTCGGCGGCGCGCGCATAGACCTCGGCGGCCTCTTCGTAGTTCTTCTGCTGGCTGTAGAGCATGGCGGCCTTGGCGCAGAGGTCGGCCAGCGAGACCTTGAGGCTGTAGCCGACCTGGTCGGCGGGGAGTTCGGACATGGCAGGCGTGACGGCACCCGAGCGAGGGCCGCCCGGGGTGCTGACACCAGAGCGAATGCCAGCCGGGACGGCAGACGCGACGACGACGGGGGGAGCAGTGGATTCAGCTTTTGCAGCCGCAGCCGGCTCAGCAGGAGGGGCGTTGTCGGCCATGGTCAATTTGTTGATGTGCGTGTTAAGTCAGGAACAGGGACAGGTACAGGTACAGGTACTTGTGCAGATATAAGTATGGTAACACCTGTCTGTTGGTTGGATAATCGATGGATGGACCGCGCAGACAAACGATCACAAACGAACAGGAGAGCGATGGCGGATGGAAGATGGTGAACAAAGGATGTAGAGACGATGCCGTCGCGAGAGAATTGGGGAAAGGAAATGCTGTCAAGGGAGCTTCCAAATTGTGGGGAGACCCTTTCTGCAGATGGGATGGGCAGGTCGACAACTGTTAATTACACAGGTGGAAGGCGCGGCCGTGCGATTCGGGTGACTAAAATGGCAAAGATGGCAAGAGGACAAAGTCACGAGTTGCGATCCTTCCGTATTTGTTCAATTGCAGGTTTTGCGATTCGTGACACTGTTTCCGTGTCTCTTGAGTTCAGTCGCTCTTTCCTGTCTCTCCACCTGAGCTACTCGTGACACGCGATGTGAGCGCAGGAGAAAGAGGAGAAACTGGTAGCTGTGCCCCGCTCTGGCGCACCTAACGTGTCTGATTGGCGGATGGTGACATGGTGTAGAGAGCTTTTCGGGCTGGCGTGACTGAGAGGCAGCTGGAACCGTCTGGGCGCGTTTTCAGTGCTTCTCTATGTATGACGATTGTTAGGGCAGTTTTTGGCCCTTTCCTGGTTTCTGTGGGGCACTTCAGTGGGCCCTTTCCATTGGGTGTGGAGAGGACCTGACTGGCCGAGGACCAAAGGCAGCTAAGCCGAGGGGCTCGAGGAAGGTGCGCTCGCCGCGCGTTTGCATTTGCATGAGGTCAAATGGAACTGAAGACGCACAATAATGATCTTTGGAAACTTGACATGGCATTGGAATAATGGACTATGTGTGCCGGGCAAGAAGGCGACGGCGAAAAAAATGACACAAGATATCAAACGTATGTAACTGGAACAAAAGAAAACGAAAATAAAAACAATGCGTCAATGTGCTTTTTCAGCTACTTTTTACACGAGTGCCAGAAGAGTCCAGTCTAAACCGGGACACAGAAGACCGAAAATGACAAAAGCGAGAGGACGGAGAGCACAACAGGTCACCACCTGTTTAATGGAACTGATCCTCGGTCACACCCTTGCCCATGGCAGCCGTGGAGCTGATGCCGCCGGTGACCATCTTCTGCAGCTCGTCCACGTAGGTGGCGCCCGACCACTTCTGGTGCTTGACGACATCGACGCCGCCGTCCATCTCGGGCTCCTGGACAAGCTCGCCGTAGGCGCGCATGCCGTTCTGGGCGTAGGCGCGGGCGAACTGGTTGCTGATGAGGGCGGTGGTGTGCAGGCCGGCCAGCGTGATGAACTGCCAGCAGTAGCCGAGCTGGGCCAGGCGGCGAATGTACGTCTCCTGCTCGGCGCGGGGCATGGCCGTCTTCCAGTTGAAGGAAGGGCTCAGGTTGTAGGCGAGCTTCTGGTGGGGGTAGACGGCGTGGACGCCCTCGGCGAAGTCGGTGGCCTGCTTGTAGTCGGGCAGCTTGCTCTCCATCCAGATGGCGTCGCAGTAGGGCGCGTAGGCGATGGCGCGGGCGATGCCGCACTCGCAGCCGCCCTTGAGGCGGTAGAAGCCCTCGCGCGTGCGGGGCGCGTCCCAGTCAAAGTGCAGCGCGTCGGCGGCGGCGGCGCCGAGGGCCTGGCGGGCCGCCGCGCGGGCCTCCGTCAGCGACTTACCCTTGGCGGCGGCCTTGTAGGCCGCGACGGCCGCCGCGCCCCGGCCGGCCTTGGCGAGGGCGTCGGCGACGAGGTCGTCGAAGCGCTGGAGGCGGGCGTCGGCTAGCCACTTGTCCTCAATGGCCTGCAGGGCGTCGCCGCTCTTGCCGGCGGCCTCGGCCTGAGTCATGAGGTCGTTGAGGGCGGGCAGGTTGGGGTTGGTGGCGCCCAGGATGTAGGCGTGGTCGCGCGGGTCAATGGTGGACGAGATGAGGGTGGCGGCCTCGGCGTCGGTGCGCGCAATGGCCACGAGGTCGACGCCCATAATGTCGGCCTGCGCGCGGATGGCCACGAGGCGGTTGATGTGCTCGCTGGTGGGCACCAGCACCTTGCCGGCCATGTGGCCGCACTTCTTGGTGCCGGGCGCCTGGTCCTCGATGTGGATGCCGGCGGCGCCCTTCTCGACAAACAGCTTGGTCAGTTTCATGACGGCCGTCAGGCCGCCGTGGCCCGTGTCGGCGTCGGCCACAATGGGGCGCAGGTAGTCGACGTGCGGCGCCTTGTTGCGCTGGTCCTTGGGCAGGCTCAGGCGCTCGTGGCGCTGTTTCCGGTCGTGGAACAGCTGGGCCGTGAAGAGGTGGCCGACCTTGTTGGGCACGGTCGTGTAGGGGTAGTCGGCCAGATCCGGGCCGGGCTCATCCGAGGACGAGGCGGTGGACGACGACTGCCAGCCGGAGACGTAGACCGTGTCGAGGTACTGGGCCATCTGGGTGACCATGGTGGGCTCGAGGCAGCCGTAGGTGTAGGAGGCGTCCTTCTCGGCGTAGCGCTTCTCAAGCAGGCCCCAGAGCTTCTTCGCCTGGGCGTTGCTGGGGTACTGGATGGGCAGAGTGCCGCGCTTCGAAACAATCTGCTCGGCGGTGAAGGGCCGCTTGGTGTGTCTCCAGCGCGGCTCGCTCCACCACTGCTTGACCTGGCGCACCTCGTCGGCGAAGCGCTGGTCCTCTGCGGCGGCGTCAATGGCCGGCGGCAGCATGTTGTTGGACGCCATTGCGTGTGTATGTGAGAGAGAGAGAAAGAGAGAGGGAGAGAGGAGAAATGAATTATGTGATCACCACTCGAGATGAATGATGACGATGAGGAGAGTGAGAATGAAGGAGGACACGGAGATGACCCAGAATGGAGGAGGACAAAACAATTGATCAGAGAATTGACCAGAAGACCAGAAGAGAAATGAAAAGAAAAAAGGCCAGACCTGTACTATATAAAATAGCTTCCGTTGTTGTCTCGTCCCTTTGCCCTTTGGTCCTGCAAGCTGGGTACGGCTGCTTTACGCTCCGTCACATGTTCGGCTACGAGGACGCCTGGGTACGTTATGACTCTTTAACGCCATCCAGACGCGGATGGCAGAAAGACAGTAAAGACGGTCTCCAAACGCCTCCACGCTTGCTCCACGCCGAGCTAGCTCTAAATCACACGCCCCCCCTAGCCGGCTCTGCGAAGGACATCCCAAAGGGAAGTATTTGGTCTCTGGTTTGTACCGTCTTTTTTCGTGTACCGTGTGCTCCGCACGGGTACTTTGGTCTGAAGCAGGGCCAATTCACTGGGATGGCACGCCCTTGTTGTCTTAAGCAGATGGCTCGTGGTAAGCAGTTTGCTTCCCGCAGATGCCCCCAGAATTCTCAAAACTCAATGGCCTCTCAGACGGGACTGCAGTTACTCTGCCACTCGTCTCTTTCTGATCTTTCTCGGTTCCCTTTCGCCTTTCTCATTTTTGTTTCTGCGTAAGTCTCCCTTTCATTCCTGAGAAAGCCGCTTGCCCGACCGGTTACTGGGTTGAAAAAGTGGAGAAGGGGGCGTCGAAAAGGAACAAGAAAGGCCATCTTCCATCACTACCTTTTCGTAGGGGTGTGGGCTTAAACAGCCGTCGATTGTCAAGTGGCAAAGAAATACAAAAGCGCAGCCGTAGAAGGACACTGAACTGAAAGGCCTTAGTGGTGCCCTCAGCTTACACCAGCCAATCAACTTACATAGCCCGCGGCTTCCTGGTGACGAAGCGGGCACTGTCGGCGTTGGGACAGGACGACTTGCTGAGTCCGCTGAGTCCACTGGACTCTAGGGACGTTACAGGGGGGAACAGGACCGCATACGCCCCTGCTCCACTTTCCTTCCACATTGCCGTAACGGACCCGATGTGCGAAAAAGGCCCCCGAGACTTCGCTTGGTGCATATTGTTTACTGCCGCCAAAGGAGAGGGACTTCTCACCTTCTGCGGTCATATCCTAGACTTGGGCATTGGACATATACACACTTTCTGGCGTCCTCTTGGGCCACTTTTCGGGTCAACGGTGGCTCTGCACACCTGCTTTTGCGGATCGGCCAATCACGGCAGCAGGCCACCCGGCTTTTGCCCGTGATTCTGGGCTTTGAAGTGCATCTGGCGTTTTGAAGCATGGATGCATTGTTTACCTTTGTCTTCTGCTCGTTTCTCCCTTGTCTCCCCGTTCCATACCTTAATTGTACAATCGTGCACATATTGCTGCGGGGGGACGGCAAAGATGGTCTGTAGCTGGAAGGCGTTTGAGAGTAAGAACTTGTTGTCTTGCGAAACAATAGTAATCAGATGGCGAATCTGGAAGACGGTGACCTAATCGAGAGATGAAGACGGCATGTTCTATATAGCAGACTCTTAACAAAACATGGCGTACGGCAAGTCGTGATGTTAAAACTTCCATTGCACCGGATTACCGCATATATGCATAAATTGGTAAAATCACGCTATGCAAATAACCAAATTTCCAATGGTACTGTCACGCACTACCATTCGTTTCCGGGGATTGACATGTCTTGCCTCCCACCAAAAAAAGCATGTGAAATGCCGTCATTCGCTCATTCCAAGGGCCAGTGCCAGCGTCTACTCAGTACGACGTACATTTGTTACCTGCATTGCTGCCATCCTAACTGCCTTCTCATTCTCCTCGCCCTTGGTCACACGTTCTCCCCGCTGACCTAGATTCCGAGCATCAAAAAGGCAGAGAACACGAAGAGAAACGAAAGTCAGCAGTTTATCCCCCCCAAAGTCGGAGTACGTAGGTGTCGGTTTTGACTAGCATGTCTCGGATTATGTTGGAGTATTGTTCCTAGGGATCTGGGGAGACGCCACTTTACTACTCCAGACTGGGGCCAATTCTCGGCTCAGCGAACCTCGGCTGTCTTGTTTTCGTCATTACTATTTGCGACTATCCGCTTTCGTGGCGTTCGATTGGTGCTAGTGGCACATCCCATTGAAGATTGGACAAC